GTTTTAGGATTGTAGTGGTTGTTTTCCTGGGTTTTGTGGGTATTATTTGGGTAAGAATGGAGGGTTGTTTTTGGTCATTAAAAGGGGACAGGACTGGGTATTATTTGTGGGTATTTTGGAGTTATGGCTTTGGGTTATTGTGAGGAAAAACATGGGCAGGAATGTATGGCTAGTGGTGGGGAAGGGTTTTGGCTTTTTGTGGGTGTTTATGTTGGGATTGTGTGTTTTAATTGGCCAGGAAATAAAAGGAAGGGAAGGTTCTACTTGTTTATTAAAAGGCTTAAAAGAAGGAAAATAACAACAAACAAAAAGGTTTTGGTTTACACTCTTATTTTCGGTCCTGGGCTAAAATAAGAGTAGGAAGAACTTTATTTTAGATATCAAAAGGAAATAAAATACTTTTGGATATTTGGGGTTGAGTTGGACGGAAAGAGGATTGGCCAGCGGAACCCCGAGGTCAAAAACGAAAGTTATTTTGGCCTTCCGGATTAAAGGACTTTGAATTCTTACTAAAATGGATCATAATGTTTGAACCTAAGTCCTTTGGTTCCCATGGGAGTGTGGGACATGGGGGAGGGTAGGATAGGGTCGGGCCCAGATATAACAGATTGTTAAATCTAATAATCATTATCTAGTGGATACCACCCTTACAATCATTTTACATTCTCACACGCTAACATAATACCTGGTTGATGATATTCTCAGCGTGCAATCTCATCAATAATATGTCTTCATCATTTCTTCAATTCAAAGTTTCGTAATATGCAATTTTTCATACCTAAGAGTCGTTCTTATACCACCTCATATTTGCAAGTGTGTGCTTTGTTTTATGAGCAACGATATAACACCATGTCGTCACAAAACGTCTACCACGTCTATCGAATGTACCTTATATACTTGCGAATTCAAAATGGATGTCACTATTATTCACCGACATTGTGAGTTTGTGACACATGTTTGTGTTGAATGATGTCACCTTTATCGAGTCTTCATTCTACTGCATACCCCTAAAGGTTACATATCTCTCTTGTTTCCGACATGTGAGTGACTTATCTCGGTTGCAACTTCTATTGTTGTCTCCAACTAATCTTTGTTGGAACTCCTATTGTTCTATCTCAAAAACAACTAAAATAATACCTTTCATACAACTCGACTCCAATCTCATAGTGTCATCCCACTCAAGTTCATTCCACAATTCATAGTCCTTAATAGGTTACCATTATCGTCCACATCCTACTCCTGCTGAGATTCATGTCGCATTGTTGCCACACTTGCTAATCTCCTTATATGGATAATGAACCTGACATCACAACAATTACCTTCCACTGAGTTTAAGCCTAATTATGATAATATATCCATTTGTTTGCAGAAAGGTGTACAATTTACTAGTAACCTTCACCCCTAATACTACCTTTGTTCCTTTCATTCAACATCTCTTAAATAGTAAATACTTTGTACGGTTTGAACATCATGGTCACCGAGACAACACTTTGATCATTGATATCATATATATAAATGATAGGCAAGTTATACTCCGTATATTCTAAAACTACATTGTAAAATAGATTTAATGTTCTAATGATATTAAGTTTACATCATCACTCGATATATTTTTTATGCAATTTAAGTTTGCATCAAACTATGCAAACTATTTTCGAATGGAGGGAGTATTATTTTCTGAGTTATCATAATGCTCTCTTGAGTCGGTGGTGTTCCAAAAACAAACCCTGTACATTTATATGTAGGGGTAAGGTCTAATGTACACTCACTTTCCTTAGACCCCACTTGTGGGACTTTACTGCTTGTTAACCTAGACCTCACTTGTGTCTAAGATTGCATCTATAAGGTTGATTTTAACCATGTGTCCATGTCCATCATGAACCACTGGCACTAGAGTTGGATATCAAGAATATCAAAAGAAATTCTTATCTTAGGCACCTTGAAGATTTAATTTGGGCTAAGAGTAATGCACAATTGAACTAGGTCATATTTTTACTAAAAAGCTCCTTCTTTCAATTCAATTATCTTCTTCTTCTTCCTAATTACCTGGAGTACTTAATTTAAACTTCAAAAGGGATTCATTTGACATGAAAAAGTTTCCAGAATTGAAGTCAAGTATGAGGAAGTAATTAGAGCATAGTCCATAGATAGTTGCAGCACTTTACAGAGAGCACATAGATGAGGAATTCAAATGGCGACATTCACATCAGAAAATAGGGGGCAGTGTGAGACTTGCAATTATTTAGTCAAGTACCAATTCAATGAAAGGTGATTGCACTATCGGATTCTTTAGTCAAGATGGGCTTCTTTTGCTCATACACTATGCATTCTTCAGTGTCCTTGGTTGTTGACTTGTTGACCTAAAAATCTAGGGTATAATAAATGCATTGCTACAGCTGTGCACATTTTAAATTCTCATGAAAAAGCAAAGCAAAACACGAACCTCCTAACAAATCACACCACAATAGTGTCTCCTAAGCTCATTAGACTAAGCTAGCCAGCAATCATTGGCCAGAAAAGGAAATGCTTTGCAATCGCTCAGATAAAATAAGAACTTTAAAAAAACAAAAAACCCACCTAACCATTGTGCCCACTGAGCAATTAAATGCGAAAAGAGTAGAGTCCAGTGGAGGTGTTCTTTCCTTCGCCCTTCATCCAAAATCTCCGCCAGCGTACATTCCTGTAATAAAATTATTTACGGTCCAATTACGGAGTACCTTTTTAGGTGGTCTTAACATATTCACACAGTGACACAGCATGCCAAATCACACCCATTACTGACAAATTTCGCCACGGTTAACACATGAAACTGAGAAATGCACCTGGGAATGCTTGTCATCTATATCGGGGCGATCATATCTACTGTAAGCACCCAATAAGGGCTCGTTCAAATCATCATCGGAGCTCAATCCCTCGAATTGCTCGTCCCGTTTGCCATCAACGTCCCCGTGATGGAGCCGCCGTCTCCTCAGAGTTGTTGAAGACATCTATCTACTACGTATCCCCCCGATCACTGAACAGTGCGAGATCTCGCTGTGTGTGAATCGCCGATCCACGCGATTTTTCTGTAATTCATGCGGAATATGTCAATGTTGAAGAACAAAATCAAACACTCACATCTAGAGGTGAAGCCCTTGAATTTGCCGAGCGGAGAGATGAGAAGAAGGGGAAATATGAAGAAAATCCCTCCTCTACTCTGTCTCGGTATGTCGCCTAGAATTCACGTATCTTCACATCATCACAGTGCCGTGTCCCAGCAGCTCCGTATATATTTATGGGTTCCTTGTTTTGAAGTTGGGCATCCGTAACTTAAATCAAAAGTAGGGTTTTTTGTTTGAAAAATTAGAATAAAAAAACTAATAAAATTTTAAAAACGAAAAATTATACTCCGTATCAAATAATCTCACTTTCAACGAAAATAATCTCACTTTTCCGCATGTATGTGAGTTTTGGGTCACCATTTAAAAACTAACTGTTACTTGACGGAATTTTTGAAAAAATGCATGCTTTCACAAATAGATAAAAGGTGGGATGATTTTAGCTAAATAATCTTTTTCATTTTTTAAATTTCTAATTTTAAATTTAAACGTATTTAAATTGGAAAAATAATACCAAATGTAAGTGTAATAATTTTTTGTAAGATGCAATAATTTTTCTTGAGCAACACTTCGAATTGTTTTTTGATACTATATTATTATTATTATTTCGTAAAAAATGGCACTATAAAACTTGTGAATATTTTTCGATAATTCTATATAAATATTTTTTGCGAAACAACATTACAATAATTGTGAAAATAACACAACAATTTTTTTCTGAAATGGAACTTTTGTTCTTATAACTCACTACATTTTTTGTTGTATTGCAATTTTTTCATTAACAAAACTCCGAAATATTTATTGATAATCTTCTATTACCTATATTAAATTTTTCTAAAATGTAACTACCTAATTTGTGATTTTTTTATAATTCAGTACAATTTTTTCTCAAAATAGTAATTGAAAAGTTGTAAAAATGACACAATATTTTTTTCTCTGAAATGGCACTAGTAAATTGTATAACTCATTACAATTTTTTTTGTTTTGGAAGTTCTTTCATTATCGATACTCTGAATTATTTTTGATAAATCAATACTCTAAAATTTTGAGTATTATATTTTCCAAGAACAGAGAATAAACTTTATAAATCGTTAGACAAATCTCTAAAAAGAGTGTACTGTTATATTTTAAAAATATAAATTTTAAATTTAAAATTAAAAAAGTAAAAAGTAAATTTTGCATCTTTCATTTATTTGCAAAAAATTAGCTTTTTCTTAAAATTCCGTTAAGTGGCCGTTAGTTTTTAAAGGCGACCCAAAACTCGCATACATTTGAAAATGTGGGATTATTTTCGGTAAGAGTGAAAAGTGAGATTATTTTTGAAAAAGCACGGAAAGGTGGGATTATTTATAATAATTTTTTTCTTTTGAAAAATCAGAAGTAAAGATATAGTTTGGGGCATGTTCAAACTTATAGGGAATATTCCGAAAAATAAGTTCTTATACATTACTCATACTAAAATTTAACCATTTTCTTTATCAATTTCCATTACAAATTGATAAAATAATATAGTCATATCACCTATTGTTTTGTAGATTATTTCATATAGTTTTTAAAAATGTAATTTTTTGTACACCAACTTTGAGAAATTTTGAATTTAAAAAATAATTTCAATCAATTATCGTAAAGCGTAATCAAAACCTATTTTTCGAATGAAGGGAGCAGGATTCAAAAATATACAAAATCATGTAGTATTTCAAAATATAATACTCCTAGTAATATACTCCGTAATTTATTTGTTTTAATGTTTTTTTAAAGTCATGGTAGGATATGTGTCGTTCACTAGAGAAGGGGTGAATATAGAGGCACGATGGTATTGATAAATTTTCACAGAATAAAAATCACGATATAAAGTAAAGTGCGGAATTAAAAGACGTAACGAAAGAACAAAACGATGTATACTAGTTCACCGTAACTTGTGGCTAATCCAGTCTCTCGAAAAAACTCTCTCGAGCTACATTATTTTCGTTAAACTTACGGGTGCTTAACAAACCGATACAACCTGAGAATCCGTGTAACATCCCAAAAAGTAGTCTAGTAGTTTTAGATTTAAAAAAATTAGTTAATGATATAATCACATTAGATTGATTAGAAATTAAAGTAGTAAATTTAATAATGATGCCAACTAATTCAAATTGACATATTAATTCCAAAAATATATGTCAATATAAAAATTTGAATCGGAATAAAACATAAATCGAAACAAAAATTTGTTTGAGATAAATAAATTGATTTAGAAGGATAATTAAACAAATTTTAGCCTTGGCCAACTTGTATTTAAGGGGGAAATATTCAAGTGCCACATAACTCTTAATTGGGCTTAGGCTTTGTTTGGTAACCGCGTTTTCGATTAGCGTTAGCGTTTTGGATAAAATTTTAATGGTGCAGATTAATTCTGAAAATGCTAACGCTAAAGGCTACCGTCGGATAGCTTTTTCAAAACTCTAACGCTAATCCCTGACGCTGATGCCAAACAAAGCCTTAGTCAAGTGGCGGAGCCAGGAAAGACTTCATGGGGGCACAAATTTATTTAAAACACAACAAAAAATTTTCATAATAGTAACAATCTTGGCAAAGTGCAATTAAACATACCTTTTATTTGCACAAATGAGTAAGAGTTTTTTGAAGCCGTAGAAAATCTTTTCGAGATGCCAACTTTTAAAAGCGCTTAGACCTGACAAAAAATGACCCGACCTATTTTCTACCCAAGACCCGACCCAAAAATACTGGGTTTTGAACAAAGGTTTTGTTGACCCAACCCGAAGTTGACCGAACCCGAAACTACCCGTTAAAGATGGGTCAAACCCGATCGAAACTGAACCCGACCTGACCGACCCGCTAATGTGAAAATTTTTCAAAATCATATGCTTGAATATGCAATATAATGTTATAAAAATTAGACTTTAATTATATTTCTTTGCTTTCTACACATTTTTAATGTATAACTTTATATTTTCATACAAAATTTTAATGATCGCATAATTATCTTGCTTTTTTTCAAAATTTTCTGCATATTTAGTTTTTTAATTTGTAATATTGATAATCGATCATAAAAATTACTTAAAATTTTAAAAAATAAATGAAAGACATAATCCGGTGGGTCGACCCGAACCCGATGACATTGGGTTATGAACATGTAGCTCTTAACCCGAACTCGAACTTACCTAAACCCGAAATAACCCGAACCCAAGGTGATCAAACCCGAACCTGACCTTACTGACCGTTTTAAGCGATGCATAATAACTTCATCATGAATGCTCATAAATTTTTTTTCTCAAAATAGCACAACAGACAATCTGATAACAGCTCATCTCTCAAACGGTTGCATAAATCAGTCTTGACAATATTCATTGCAGAAAAACTCCTTTGAACTGAAGTTGTCCCAATAGGTAATATCAATCCCATTTATATAAGCCGATATACCAAAGGAAAATAAGTTTGATAATTCATCTCCACCACCTTCTTTGCAAGACTACCAAGATTGGAGATATTAGCAAAAACTTCATTCAATCTCATGTCAGAAATATAATTTTGAAGTTAATGAATAAGCTCAACTCGATCACTAGAACTGAAATCTTCTGAATATAATACTGCAAGTTCCAATAGTCGATCTTGATCAAAACTCGCAAAACAATTAGAAGGATCAAGACACATTAGATATCTTAGTAAATTTGTGTTTGTCTCTGTGAATTGTCCATCCATTTCCATTGCAAGAATATCAATGACCTAACATCATATAAATAATAATAATAACCTAACTCCATTCCTTATGATATCAAAATACTTCCAAAAAACCATATTAAAATATTAAATTAATAAGAGTGATATACCTTAGCAAAGATCTCTCCACGAAAATGTACATAGTTTGTCATGGGATCACCACCTTTCATATTCTTTGTTGATCGCCCACGAAGGTAATGTATTTTAATTATAGAAAGATGTTTTTAATAATGAGTCTCTCAACATTAATTAAATAAATAGATTAATTAATTATTGGAATGAACCCAGAAGTTTGAGAATAAAGTTTTGAGAAAAATAGTTTGAAGATATAATAAATTTAGCTTTGACTATTTATTCCCGAAAACTGAATCGGTTCTCGATTCGGGCAAGTTCAGGGAAAAAGCACATACCGTTCAGGTCAATTATTTAATAACGGAATAGCCTAAGTTTCATCACCCATATTTTTTCTACAAGGATTCACCTTGGGTTCTCCACCAAAATAGCACATGACTATTTTCTTCATCTCCCCCCCACCATGCTCTTATTTAATACTCCATCCATTCCCTCTTCCTCCATTGTTCTTATCACCAACATACATCCCCCACTCTTTCCCATCATCACCCATCTCTCTCTTCATATCGTCTCCCTCTCTACCTCGGCGGAAACACAACAAAAACACGGAGAAGAAGGCACCGGTGGATAAGAAGGAAGAGTCTAAGACGCTATAGATGCTAAAATTGGTTTGACACTTTTCTCTTCAGTCCAATTTGGGCAGTATTTCGACCAACATAAACTCACTGTTTGGTCACGATTTCTTGACCAAAGTTGTAGCCTTACGAGTCAGTGAAACACAGCCACAAACGATTTGTCAATTAAGCGAGTTACGAAGGTGATACGTCTGTTTTACCAAAATTAGTCTAGTGCTGATGGAAAACGCGAGTTTGCAACTTCCGTCTTCATTCTCGTTTCGTCTCATCCAATCCGCTATTCGTTGGATGCGTGCCGATTCTCCACATCCCTTGTAACATATTGGGAGGAAGAAAACGGAAATCAAGGAGCCGTTTGGAAGTTGGAAGGTCAATATCGTTAACGTTGCTGATTCATTCAGTTCCTTCAAACGTTGTGTCATATTCGAGGTATGTATACCCTAGATATAACAGAGGAATCTTTAATATATTTATATGCAAATACGTTTGTTTTTTACAAGGTTATTTATATGTAGATTCATACCATGTTATGTTCTTGATCTATCAAAGTTCCGTAGAGAACAACGGGATTATAAAATGTTATAAATTTGAACGATTATATGGATGTTTGACTGAATCGTAAACAACATGAATTTTGAAATAAAAGTAGTAAAATGGTTAGGCTATAAAGAATATGGTTAGGCTTGAGGAAATACCATTGAATATCGTAATAGCATCAC